AGTGTGTCATCAGTAAAATGTGTGTTAAAGAGCCAACGTTCAGCCTTATTTTTAGACTGATTGCGCGATAAAATGTATCATTTAAAATCTTATCTAACTGAGCCCATTTTCTAATTTTATCGGAATGTTTAATTTTTTCCAAATCTTGATCATAATCATATGTCGGGCTTCCTGTGTATGKCAGTAACCGGAAACATAAGTAGCCTCGCCAGTTCTATATTAAGTTCAGTCACGTTTTTGAGGGTCCAAAACAATTCTATTTCCGCAAACGTGAGCTGAACATATAGGCATGGAGATCAAGTAGTGAGTTTAATTTATCATATTTACTCTGAGCATTACAAAATGCTCGCGTTTCTCGAACAACTCCTGATGTACTTTGATAAGTTYAAGTTATATTAAACGTGTTTTRAAGCACCAAGTACGAAGATGGACGACGATTTTGATGTYGATGATGGCCCTAAAGAAAATATTTCYGAGACCAAGAGAGTTAGYCGCAATATGAACGAAAAGAAACGAAGAGATCGTTTTAACGTTCTTATTAGCGAGCTTGCAGCTGTAATACCAGACTCTACTGCAGTAGGAACTTCAAAAATTGACAAAACAACAGTTTTGAAGAAAGCTGTGGCCTATCTTCGGAGTCACAGTAATCGGTCAACAGTAGCATTGTCTCGCCCGACAGCTAACTGGCAGCCAGCATTCGTCAACGACGCAGAGCTAAACCAAGTGCTGCTGGAAGCAATGAGTGGATTTCTCCTAGTTTTGGACGGTTCTGGGATAATTACTTTTGCCTCAGAYTCCATAATTTCTATTCTAGGCTATAGGCCACAAGATGTTGTTAACAATTCAGTTGCAGACTACCTGGACCAGACGGACAAATCCTGCATTTTTGCACACCTTGCATTACTGGAAAARCTCAAAAGCTCAACACAGGAAAGTTCAAACTCTACGTATTCTTCTGTTGCTGTCAGCGAYCCAGTGAATTTTGAAATGACTTTGAATTCAGGACCTTGCTTTAAGAGCCAAGTTGTCGAGTGCTTCTCTTGTATTGGACAAGCATTTACAACCAACGCAGCTCCACATTCTTCCTCGAAYTTTCAAGTGATTGTAATCTGTTATTCAAGTAATTCAAAACCWAACCTAACACAGCCCTTGTTTGATGTGACCTCAAAGGAGTTTACTTCAAGGCTAACCCTTGACTGGAAATTCACTTGTGTTGACAACAGGATAATGTTAGTCTTAGGCTATCAGCCATCAGAGCTTGTAAATAAATCCATATATGCATTTATTCATCATGAGGATCTGGTAAATATCAAGACCTATCATGAAATGCTTGTCCGCAAAGGGCGTATCAATACATGCTACTATAGATTCCTAACAAAAGGAGAGGTATGGGTCTGGTTAAGAAGCTGCTGTCACATTTCTTATAACCAGTGGAACTCTAAGCCAGAGTATGTTACAGTTAAATCCAATCCAGTTCACTATGAAGAGGTCTTCTCCAATCAGGAAGTCCTTGTCAAGAATGATCGTCTTCATTTTCAGAGTATAACTCGAGACTTTCGATCTGAGAGCTGTATTAAGATTCACTCAAAGAGGGCTGATTCCCCTCTCAGTTTTGCATGCTCTGAGAAATCCAAGGATCAAGCC